CCCCAAAACCCCAAAACCCCAAAACCCCAAAACCCCTATTTAAAGTGCCCAGATTGAAAATACTAATAATGTCTAATTACTACGATAAATATTACCAAAATACTGAAGCTGTTAATGAGCTTCAAGATAAAGAACTCTTCAAGACTATGCCAATCAAGCTTTCATGGCATGACCTCTCCTACTCAGTGAGTGTTAGGAAGACTGAGAATTCTGATAATGTGCAAAATGGCAAGAAGCAGCTTCTTAAACCTCAGAATGGTTATGTAAACTCAGGAGAAACCTTATTCATCATGGGATCTTCTGGAGCAGGTAAAACAACCTTACTCAATGCACTATGCGATCGTATCAGCAAGGGAAAAGGAACTAAGTTTGAAGGAAAAATCATGATCAATGATTCCTTAGAAGTTTCATCTAGAAATTTCAGAAAGTACGGAGCATATGTGATGCAAGATGATGCACTATTACCAACACTCACTTGTGAGGAGACGATCAAGTTTGCTGCTAGGCTGAAGCTTAATATAAAAGGGCAAGAACTCAAGGCAAAAGTTGAAGAGATTCTTGAGTCTCTTTCTCTTCTGAAATGTAGAAATACTTACATAGGAAATGGAGAGAAGAAAGGCCTAAGTGGAGGAGAAAGGAAAAGAGTATCAATAGGGGTTGAATTAGTAGCCAATCCTTCTCTTCTTTTTCTTGATGAGCCTACTTCAGGGTTAGACTCTTTTACTGCTCATAAGATAGTTGATCTTCTTCACAAGCAAGCTCAGATGGGAAGAGCTGTGGTTTCTACTATTCATCAGCCAAGTTCCAAAACATTCAAACTTTTTGACAGATTGCTTCTCTTAATGGATGGTAACCCTATATTCCAAGGACCGGCTGATGAGTCAATGGACTATTTTACATTCTTTAATTATCAGACACCAAGATTTATGAACCCAGCAGATTATTACTTGAAGAAGTTCTATGTTCCTTACAAAAAGAGTGAGAAGGATATTAAAAATATCAGTAAGTTCGCAACTTTCCACCCATTTCTTACAATTTGGTATAGATACTCTTGTGGAAGGCTATCAGTCCCTAATTGACCCATACATTGTCAAGAAACAGAAGGAATTACAGCATGAAGAAGTCACTATGCAGATGCTTGAAGATAACTCTCAAAGTGCTGGGTTCTTCACTCAGTTCCATGAGCTCAATAAACGTGCCTTTAAGAATTTCCTCAGAGATATGACAAATTTCTACATGAGAATTTCACAACTCTTTGTGATTATTGTGTTGGTCATCTGTACATTCTGGGATCTAGGAAATGGACCGAGTAGCGTCACCAACAAAGCAGGAATGTTCAACTTTGTCAGCGTCAATGAGAACTTTACACCCTTTCTATCATGCTTGCTAGTGTTTATGATCGAAAAGCCAGTTTTCATGAGAGAGCATGCGAATGGAACATATGGACTTGTCCCATATTTCTTTTCCAAAACATTTGTCGAACTTCCACTAAGTTTGATCTTCCCTATCCTCTTCAGCATGATTGTTTATTTCCCTAGTGGGCTGACTCCTGATTTTGAGAGGTACCTTATCTTCATCTTGATACTAACTCTCTCTGTGATTACCTCAACATCAATTGCTTTCTTGTTTGGAAGTATCTTCACGGATCCTGGGGTTGCTACGAATGTAGCGACCACCACTCTCCTGCCGATGATTCTTTACGCAGGTTTTGCAATAAACATCGGAGATATGCCATCATTTTCCAAATGGGCTCTATATCATTCTTTTCTGAGGTACTCAAACGAGGCACTTCAAAGGAACGAGTTTGAAGATAACCCAGACTATGATTTCTTAGCGAAGCCTATCTACGATACCTATCATTACGGCATAGGCATGTGGAACTGCTTGCTTATCTTACTGTGATATGCCTTAGTCCTCAGACTTGGAGCCCTGCTTTGCCTGAAACTCAGCATCAGAAGATTTTATTAGGCTACACAATTTTAGTATAAAGAATATAATTCAGTTTCGCCACTTTATACCGGGGTTTTGGGGTTTTGGGGTTTTGGGG